TCTCCCGGGAGACGGGGCTGGGGGCGGGGTTTGCCGGAGGGGGGTTTTTCTGGTTCTTGTGTAATTGGCGGTTCTCCTCGGCTCTGTCCGCCTTGGCCTTGATCTTCTTGAAGCGCTTGAGCTTGACGGCGTCTTTGGCCTCTCCGAAGAGCCGCGTGAAGATGCTGGTGAGACTCGGCACGTGGAAACCCCACGCTGACCACATGGACACGACCGTGTACGGAGACCAGGCCAGGATGAACGCCGTGCAGATCACTACAGACACCTGAAGACAACAACACGGCTTTGAGTTTAACTCCTGAACATCATCAGGAGCAAGAACACTGCTGCATTTAAAGAAATGCATTTCACACATCTGAGAGAAACACATCCAAAATACCTCAATCTGGCATTAAACCAGATATATATATATATATGTGTATTTCAAATATTAAATATTTTAACATATTAAATATATTAATATTATAATCATAATGTATTATTATATATTAATATATTTAAAATATACATTTTATTTAACAAATATAAATACAAATTTTAAATATGAATATCAAAATATAAATATTAATATATGACTTTAAATGATTACTATATATATATATATTTTTTTTTTTTTTTTAGTTATGAAAAATGGGGACTTTTCTTTTCAGAATTGCAAGTTTATATCTTAGACTTTTTTGTTTGTTTGTTTCCACCATGGAATAAACAAATTTAATAATAATAATAATAATAATATATTTGAATTTAAAAAAAAGAAAACGAAAAAACTATTCTGACATTTGCTTAGAATTGCAAGAAAAAAAGTCAGAATTGTGAGTTCAAAAGTCATTTCAGAGCAAATAAATATGAGCATATAGAATATTACAACAAGTCTTAAACATGAATTGTGTAAAGAAACAAATATATAGATAATAAAGATATACTTTTTTATTTACCTCTATTTAAATGGATTTTTAATGAATACACTGAATTTATAACTTTTAAAAATCTCATACATTTATTATTCAAAGAAAGTTAAAAAGTTGCAATTATCTTTTTTTTTATCTTTTTTATATAAGCTTTTTTTTAATAAGGCGGTAATAAGCTTCCATATAGTAGGTATATGATTAATTTATGTAATACATTTTTTATATGTAAAACTTGTTTATGACCCATTTGGTTGAAATGATTTTAAGTAATCTCAGAGAAAATTAATAAATATCAACACATTGTATATTATTATCACAAGCCTTAAAATTGTGTAAAAACATCAACAAATATTTTTTATAAAAAATATAATATATTAAAATATTTTTATTTAAATGGAATTTTTCATAGATTAACTTAGATTAACTAAAATAACTTTATAAAATCATTGCATAGTTTTATTATTGTGAGATAAAGCATAAGTGTGTCCAGTGTTTTGACTGGTTGTGTATCTTGAGCTGAAGACTCTGTGACTCACGACGGTGACGTCTCTCTCGATCTTGCGCTGTCTGTCGGTCACATCTCTCTCAGCTGACTCTCTCAGGTTTCCTCGCTTCACCGTGTTGATGATGGAGACGTACGAGAACAGCATGATCAGCACGGGGATGAAGAAGCAGAAGATGAGGATGGAGATGATGAAGGACTTGTGGATGCTGGAGTAGTTGGCTTTGACCCAGTCGATCTCACAGGTGCCGTATCCATGATCTGACCAGAACACGCAATTAACCCTTTCACACCGTCCACATCAGCTTATCAGGAGCTGTGTAGCTTACACTGAGAAACATCACACAATGTTCTGCCAGTTAGCAATAATAATAATAATATGTGAGTATAATAATTCATTATACAATTTAATTATGTAATATAATTGCACATATATATATATATATATATATACATATATACACACACACACTCACGCTCACACTCACACTCTCACACGCTCTCACTCACACACACAGCATAAGTTAAATTATTTTATAAAATAATTTAACTTATGCTGTGTGTGTGAGTGAGAGCGTGTGAGAGTGTGAGTGTGAGCGTGAGTGTGTGTGTGAGGGAGTGAGTGTGTGTGTGAGGGAGTGAGTGTGTGTGTGAGGGAGTGAGTGTGTGTGTGAGGGAGTGAGTGTGTGTGTGAGGGAGTGAGTGTGTGTGTGAGGGAGTGAGTGTGTGTGTGAGGGAGTGAGTGTGTGTGTGAGGGAGTGAGTGTGTGTGTGAGGGAGTGAGTGTGTGTGTGAGGGAGTGAGTGTGTGTGTGAGGGAGTGAGTGTGTGTGTGAGGGAGTGAGTGTGTGTGTGAGGGAGTGAGTGTGTGTGTGAGGGAGTGAGTGTGTGTGTGAGGGAGTGAGTGTGTGTGTGAGGGAGTGAGTGTGTGTGTGAGGGAGTGAGTGTGTGTGTGAGGGAGTGAGTGTGTGTGTGAGGGAGTGAGTGTGTGTGTGAGGGAGTGAGTGTGTGTGTGAGGGAGTGAGTGTGTGTGTGAGGGAGTGAGTGTGTGTGTGAGGGAGTGAGTGTGTGTGTGAGGGAGTGAGTGTGTGTGTGAGGGAGTGAGTGTGTGTGTGAGGGAGTGAGTGTGTGTGTGAGGGAGTGAGTGTGTGTGTGAGGGAGTGAGTGTGTGTGTGAGGGAGTGAGTGTGTGTGTGAGGGAGTGAGTGTGTGTGTGAGGGAGTGAGTGTGTGTGTGAGGGAGTGAGTGTGTGTGTGAGGGAGTGAGTGTGTGTGTGAGGGAGTGAGTGTGTGTGTGAGGGAGTGAGTGTGTGTGTGAGGGAGTGAGTGTGTGTGTGAGGGAGTGAGTGTGTGTGTGAGGGAGTGAGTGTGTGTGTGAGGGAGTGAGTGTGTGTGTGAGGGAGTGAGTGTGTGTGTGAGGGAGTGAGTGTGTGTGTGAGGGAGTGAGTGTGTGTGTGAGGGAGTGAGTGTGTGTGTGAGGGAGTGAGTGTGTGTGTGAGGGAGTGAGTGTGTGTGTGAGGGAGTGAGTGTGTGTGTGAGGGAGTGAGTGTGTGTGTGAGGGAGTGAGTGTGTGTGTGAGGGAGTGAGTGTGTGTGTGAGGGAGTGAGTGTGTGTGTGAGGGAGTGAGTGTGTGTGTGAGGGAGTGAGTGTGTGTGTGAGGGAGTGAGTGTGTGTGTGAGGGAGTGAGTGTGTGTGTGAGGGAGTGAGTGTGTGTGTGAGGGAGTGAGTGTGTGTGTGAGGGAGTGAGTGTGTGTGTGAGGGAGTGAGTGTGTGTGTGAGGGAGTGAGTGTGTGTGTGAGGGAGTGAGTGTGTGTGTGAGGGAGTGAGTGTGTGTGTGAGGGAGTGAGTGTGTGTGTGAGGGAGTGAGTGTGTGTGTGAGGGAGTGAGTGTGTGTGTGAGGGAGTGAGTGTGTGTGTGAGGGAGTGAGTGTGTGTGTGAGGGAGTGAGTGTGTGTGTGAGGGAGTGAGTGTGTGTGTGAGGGAGTGAGTGTGTGTGTGAGGGAGTGAGTGTGTGTGTGAGGGAGTGAGTGTGTGTGTGAGGGAGTGAGTGTGTGTGTGAGGGAGTGAGTGTGTGTGTGAGGGAGTGAGTGTGTGTGTGAGGGAGTGAGTGTGTGTGTGAGGGAGTGAGTGTGTGTGTGAGGGAGTGAGTGTGTGTGTGAGGGAGTGAGTGTGTGTGTGAGGGAGTGAGTGTGTGTGTGAGGGAGTGAGTGTGTGTGTGAGGGAGTGAGTGTGTGTGTGAGGGAGTGAGTGTGTGTGTGAGGGAGTGAGTGTGTGTGTGAGGGAGTGAGTGTGTGTGTGAGGGAGTGAGTGTGTGTGTGAGGGAGTGAGTGTGTGTGTGAGGGAGTGAGTGTGTGTGTGAGGGAGTGAGTGTGTGTGTGAGGGAGTGAGTGTGTGTGTGAGGGAGTGAGTGTGTGTGTGAGGGAGTGAGTGTGTGTGTGAGGGAGTGAGTGTGTGTGTGAGGGAGTGAGTGTGTGTGTGAGGGAGTGAGTGTGTGTGTGAGGGAGTGAGTGTGTGTGTGAGGGAGTGAGTGTGTGTGTGAGGGAGTGAGTGTGTGTGTGAGGGAGTGAGTGTGTGTGTGAGGGAGTGAGTGTGTGTGTGAGGGAGTGAGTGTGTGTGTGAGGGAGTGAGTGTGTGTGTGAGGGAGTGAGTGTGTGTGTGAGGGAGTGAGTGTGTGTGTGAGGGAGTGAGTGTGTGTGTGAGGGAGTGAGTGTGTGTGTGAGGGAGTGAGTGTGTGTGTGAGGGAGTGAGTGTGTGTGTGAGGGAGTGAGTGTGTGTGTGAGGGAGTGAGTGTGTGTGTGAGGGAGTGAGTGTGTGTGTGAGGGAGTGAGTGTGTGTGTGAGGGAGTGAGTGTGTGTGTGAGGGAGTGAGTGTGTGTGTGAGGGAGTGAGTGTGTGTGTGAGGGAGTGAGTGTGTGTGTGAGGGAGTGAGTGTGTGTGTGAGGGAGTGAGTGTGTGTGTGAGGGAGTGAGTGTGTGTGTGAGGGAGTGAGTGTGTGTGTGAGGGAGTGAGTGTGTGTGTGAGGGAGTGAGTGTGTGTGTGAGGGAGTGAGTGTGTGTGTGAGGGAGTGAGTGTGTGTGTGAGGGAGTGAGTGTGTGTGTGAGGGAGTGAGTGTGTGTGTGAGGGAGTGAGTGTGTGTGTGAGGGAGTGAGTGTGTGTGTGAGGGAGTGAGTGTGTGTGTGAGGGAGTGAGTGTGTGTGTGAGGGAGTGAGTGTGTGTGTGAGGGAGTGAGTGTGTGTGTGAGGGAGTGAGTGTGTGTGTGAGGGAGTGAGTGTGTGTGTGAGGGAGTGAGTGTGTGTGTGAGGGAGTGAGTGTGTGTGTGAGGGAGTGAGTGTGTGTGTGAGGGAGTGAGTGTGTGTGTGAGGGAGTGAGTGTGTGTGTGAGGGAGTGAGTGTGTGTGTGAGGGAGTGAGTGTGTGTGTGAGGGAGTGAGTGTGTGTGTGAGGGAGTGAGTGTGTGTGTGAGGGAGTGAGTGTGTGTGTGAGGGAGTGAGTGTGTGTGTGAGGGAGTGAGTGTGTGTGTGAGGGAGTGAGTGTGTGTGTGAGGGAGTGAGTGTGTGTGTGAGGGAGTGAGTGTGTGTGTGAGGGAGTGAGTGTGTGTGTGAGGGAGTGAGTGTGTGTGTGAGGGAGTGAGTGTGTGTGTGAGGGAGTGAGTGTGTGTGTGAGGGAGTGAGTGTGTGTGTGAGGGAGTGAGTGTGTGTGTGAGGGAGTGAGTGTGTGTGTGAGGGAGTGAGTGTGTGTGTGAGGGAGTGAGTGTGTGTGTGAGTGAGTGTGAGTGTGAGCGTGTGTGTGTGTGTGTGTGTGTGTGTGTGTGTTTGAAGCTCTTCATGGGTTTGAACTCATACTCGACACAAAAACAACCTCTGACATCGATTATCATCTGTAAAAACACCACACGGGAACAAATAACAAACAGAAACAATCCACGCCAAGAAACATTCACTCTTCTCATCTCTATACGTATATGATCTGAGCTCCTCCCACTACCCACAATTCCACTTCCTGTACCTGGCACGTCCACACAGAGGTGATGAGGTAGCCGTTATCCCTGAAGACGTTGAAGATCTCAAGGATTCCTCGGGAATATCCGAACACGGAGATGCTGGCGTCAGAAACGGCGAGGTTGAGTGTCAGATAGTCGGTGGGCTGGAGAGACGATCTCTGCTTGAACAGAACGAAGATCACGATGCTGTTGCCAAACCACGACAACCAACCTGCCAAAAAACACACAAGACATTCTCTAAGAGAGCAGGATCACTGTATGTACAGATCAGCAAACAAGAACTGAAGCATTATGGGATACTGTAGGACCAACTGCAGAATGTTACTGTGGTTAGTAGTAATAATATTATCATAATAAAAATAATTTGTTCATTTAATTGCATCTATATATAGGCATAATTAATGGTGTGTTACACTTTCATATGATATATTATGTATATTTATATAATATTATTTTATAAAATAATTTAACTTATGCAATCATTTCCATATAATTTTGTAATATAATTATATATATATTTATAAATTATGTAACTTTATATTATTACAGTTATAATCTTAAAATAACATTATTTTATAAAATAATTATAGAATTTATGTAATGTTTAATAAAAATTTTTATTAATTAATCATATATATATATTAATTTATTTATTATTATTATTATTAATTATAATTTAATTATGCATAATATCATTATCTTACTTTTTAATATTAGAATTATAATCTGCAAACATATAATTTATAATAACATAATTGTAGGTATGTTGTCGCTTTATGATTAAATTTATATAGGAAATATAGTAATGTAGGTTATATATTATATACACACACACACACACACACTGATAAGACTAATATAATATAATATTTACTGACTAATATAATATGTTATATTACAAATATTATTTTATCCAAATTGTACTCAACTTTTTTTTGTTAATCAGCAGAAAGCATCTAAATTTAATTTAGCTTTATTTTGTTATGTTTAATCATTGAATTTAATCACTTTAATTTAGAGATGCAAATCTTACATATTAATATAGGGTTAAAAATGTGCAGCCAACTGTAATCTATTTAAGCAAATAGATATATTAAATAAAAATATATATAGTAATGAAAGTCATTGTCTTAAATAAAAAGTGTTTACTAAATGCATATTGTAAGTGGTACACATGAATGTGTTAATCATTGAATAGAATATTACAGTATGAAACTCCCATCTGATATGATTTCTATACCAGTGCTTTACTGTAACGGATGAACTGAATGTAGATCAGAGTTTGAGCTGATTAACCTGATTAACTCTCTCTAATGACCCCTGACAGACAGACAGACCTGAGCCGCAGTAATCCACACGTTCATCACTAACATTAACGAGAACAATTACACCTGCATCTTCAACATAATAAAGAAAGAAGCTCTGTAATAAACACTAGATGCCTGTTTCTATAATGCATAATATCTCATAATCATAATCATTTTACAATAACCATCTTTTGTTGTTTTCAAAAACACCTAAATATCCTTAAAACTAGATAAAGTTATCTGAGAATCAAAACCATTGCTTATTTTCAGAGAATGTACCTTGTATGTCAAAATACAAGTAGATTTAAGGTATATTTTATATCATATCCTTAAAACTAGATAAAATAATCTGAAAATGAAATTAACACTTATTTTCAGAGAATATATCTTTAATCTACTTGTATTTGTCAAGTCGATTTTATTGACAAAATACAAGTAGATTCAATGTATATTCTCTATAATATGCTTAAAACTAGATCAAATTACCTTAGAATCAAAATTAGCACTTATTTTCAGAGAATATGAATTGAATCCACTTGTATTTTGCCAGTGAAGGTGACTTGACAAAATACAAGTAGATTTACTGTATATTATCTATAATATCTTTAATACTAGATAAAATTATCTGAAAATGAAATTTAAACATTTTCAGAGAATATATCTTGAATCTACTTGTATTTCGTCAAGTCAATTGTATAGACGAAATACAAGTAGATTCAAAGTATATTCAGTATAATATCCTTAAAACCGGATAAAATGACCTAAGAATCAAAATTAACTCTTATTTTCAGAGAATATATCTCAAATCTTTTTGTATTTTGTCAATAAAGGTGACTTGGAAAAAATACAAGTAGATTCAAAGTAGGCTATATTCTCTGAAAATAAATGTTTATTTTCATAATAACACTTAATGTTTTCTAATATCCTTAAATAGTCATGAAACTATCCTTGTATCTGCTTGTATTTTGTCAATAAACCTGACTTGACAAAATACAAGTAGATTGAAGGCATATTCTCTATCAGTACATTTGTTGCACGGGTTATTTTCATCTAGAAAATAATTTGTCTTGTCAGATTTTAGAAAACAAGACATTTTTAAGCGTAGGAAAATTGGAAAACAAGTTAAAGAAACTCCATATGATTGTTTGGGAACTTAAACCCCATCAAAAGCGTTTGCGAACAGTGCTTCCCTGCGGTAAAAAACAATAGAACCATCACAGAAAATTCTAATGCACTGAAAAAAAATGATACAAAATTTTCTTAAGGTAAGTGGTTGCAAACAATTTATTTTAGCTACATTTTTTTTTTTATGTTGAAAGTTAGTCAACTAAATTTGTTTATTTAAATGTCGCTAAAATAAATTGCTTGCAACCACTTTAGTCAATTTAGTAAATTCAATGAATCGTTTTTTCAGTCTGGTTTCCACTATACAAATACCATTACAAACCATCAACTTTTAACCATTAAAACCATTTAAAAATGGTTTTCTGTAGTGTGTTTTGGGACATATTCCATTAGGATTTATTGGTTTTAACAAGCCACCAGTAGAAGGCGACCAATAACCAGTGGAGACCCACAGGGTGCATTACAGTTTCCATTAAAACCAATACAAGTCCCTTGCAGTAAAACCATTTCAAACAAATTTTGTGATGGTGTCTATTGTTAAGTTCCTGATAATGTAAAACTGAGGTAAACTAACATAAGAGTGAAGTAAATCCGCAGACTGACCCAGAATGAGCAGGTAGACGCCGATGATCGTCTCTCCCTGATCGGACAGCAGCGGGTCGCGGCTCATCAGGCTCAAGTTGTTGTTCCTCCAGGGGATGTTCACCACCTGAAGCGGGTTTTGCACAGACATAGCGGCTTCCCGAGCGTCTAAAGAGTCATGAATGAACGATTCTCCGCCCGCGGCTCCGTTTAACGCCCGCTCTGCTCTGAAGACACACAGACACACACACACACACTCACACACACACACACACACACACACACACACTCACACTCACACACACACACACACACACACACACACACTCACAGTGCTCAGCGGAGATTGGGTGCAAAATTAAATTAAAAATTAAATTAAAAAAATACAGTGTATTAGATGCATCATTACCTTTTCAGCTATTAGTGTAAATGATCCTGAAATGAAAGCCTGTTTGATGAATCCTGTAGAGCTGATGACTCAGACCTGCGTGACTTCAGGTGAAAATGAACAGACTATTAACTACGTTAGGATCTGGTAAAGAGCAGACGGCTTCAGGATCATCTCAGCAGGTTCACCTACTGATCAACAATACATGCATCAGATGAAGTAACAGCACATGGTTTAACATAAATCAGTTTAATACTTAGTGTTAGTGGTTTTAAAAAAATCCCTAGTCCTTGATGCTTAAAGCTTAAGGCCGGTTATTTACAGTTGCAACATTGACATTAATTTTCAATATCCATCAGTAATATTCTTACAGAATAAAGAGCCTTTCACCTTTTGTTTGGTTGTTTTTTGATAGTGGGCTTTTATCCGGAAACCACTTTCACACTCTTTAGAGTATCACAAGTCGAAAGACTAGAAAAAGAATTGAGAATGTTAGTTTTAGACGATCATTCTTTAAATAAAAAGAAACCAAGTACATAGAATAGAAAAAGAATAGAGAATACTAGCGTGTGAGGCTCTATTTTTTATATAAAAAGAAAGCAAGTATTGTAAAGAGTGCAAGTGCTAAAGGATCAAGTGTTTGTTTTTTTATAAATAAATAAATAAAAAGAAAACAAGTAGACAGAATAGAAATAGAATAGAGAGTGCTAGCGTTAGAGGGTCAAGTATAGATGTTAGTATACGTAACAGATGTAAGTATGGATAGTTTTAACCAAACTAAAAAAAAAAAAAAAACATTATGCAATACATATTTGTGACCCTGGAGCACAAAACCAGTCATAAGGGTCCATTTTGTGAAATAGAGATTTATACATCATCTGAAAGCTGAATAAATAAGCTTTCATTGATGTATGGTTTGTTAGGATAGGACAAAATCTGAAAATCTGGAATCTGAGGGTGCAAAAAAATCTAAATATTGAGAAAATCATCTTTAAAGTTGTTCAAATGAAGTTCTTAGCAATGCATATTACTAATCAAAAATTAAGTTTTGATATATTTACAGTAGGACATTTACTAAATATCTTCATGGAACATGGAAACAATGATTTTTGGCATAAAAGAAAAATGTATAATTTTGATCCATACAATGTATTGTTAGCTATTGCTACAAATATACCCCAGCGACTTAACACTGCTTTTGTGCTCCAGGCTCACAATTTTCAGCCATACATAAATGAAATGGGTCAGATTTCTGCATTAAAAAAAAAAAAAAAACATGCATAATTTATTATTAACTATTTGCATCTATTTAATTTTATTTAAATAATCCTGTTTTCAAAATGCATTTATACAAATCTGTTTTTGTGAAAACAATGACATTTATTCCGTTTAAAAACATGATTCAAATATGGCTAGCTGTGGATTTATGTATGACTGACAAATATGCATCACACCAAGTTATTATTAGTTTTATGTGAAAACTGTGTATCCAAATGCATGGAAATTTTACATGCAATTCAAACATGTAAATCTTAAATGTAGGCCTAAATGTTTTTTGAGCATTTACATGAATTGTTCACAAATAAGACCAAGTATTGAATGAAACATGTTCACCTGCGGGATCCAAGAGAGAACAGCGTGCTTCACTCCAACATCACACTTTCTCACAAAATATGATGCATTTTGTAGCATTTATGCTTTACAATCATTTGTGTGGTGAAGTCGTCTTGTATTCAGTAGAAGAGCACCACAAACACATGATTTCTGTCTGAATCTGAGCCAGATTACAACTATTTCTCAGCCTGTTTTCACACACATCACATGGTTTTAAATTATGGCCAGTGACAGAATGTTATGTTCTTTGACATTAAATTCAGAATTTTAACATATTCATCCAATCTTTTGCAGACTGTAAGTTAAGTGATACATTTTGAACATTTGAATAAGTGCATTAAAGCTGGTAAGTGTACAGAATTTGAAAAAAAAAGATTTGTTCTTATTTTGTGGGGGGGGGGGG